TTTAATTTAGATTTTACTTATATGTAGATATGTTAATTTTGAATTTGCACCTTGAATAAACTATCATTTACTTTTCGTGGTACATATTCAACATAGAAAATATACATAATATATGTTCACTTTGAACTGGCACATTTAGTAATATATCAGTTACTTTTCGTGGTAATATATTATGTTAGATAATATAATTTAAAGATTTTATATTATTAAGTTACATTATTAGATCTAGTAATATATCAGTTACTTTTCGTGGTAATGTATTATAGTAGATAATATCATTTAAAGTATTAAAGGTTTAAATTATTAGGTTACATTATTAGATAATCATTTTAATTTAGAATGGTACAAATTTTTGGGGTCAATTTTCAAAGGATGATATTCATTGGGTTTTTTATTTTGTGGTTAGATAATCGTTTTAATTTTGATAGGTTCAATTTTTGTAGTTTTCATTTACTTTTCGTGGTACATAACATAGAAAATAACATAATGTATATTCATGTTTAAAAAGATTCAAATTTTTGGGGTTAATTTCAAAGGTATAAATTTTTTGGTTTCTATTATCCCTAAACTTGCTCTGCGTAAGGTAATTTGAGATAGTTAATTTTGGTTCAGTTTAAATATTGCATTCTACCGCCACTGGAACAAGAGCTCTCCTGATTGGCTGCTACTGCGCAGTGCGCACCTCAAAATCCTTCATACCTTCTCTTATTATATATAATACCATGATTATCAACCACATGAACCATAAGATTTGTGGTAGAACGTTGCAACTGTAGTCACGACGTCGTAACGTCGCAAGAGACAGTGACAGGCGCATTGCACGTAAGCTTTGTCGCAGTGGCGATGGCAACGGCAGAATCCTGCCCAGTCCTATCCAACATTCCCGCTGCTACAAAGCTTGTGTGTTGCCTGCCGCTGCCTCTTGCGACTTGCCGCAATTAGTTGCAACATTCTGTCACAAATCTCGTGCGTTCAGCTTTATAGGTACTTGCGGCTTGCGCACATCCGAAATGTTTAGAAATATCATGTATTATTTTATATGTATTAATAAAATATTCATAATAAGTACAATTCATATTTTTGATCATTTTAATGGAAAAACCTGAACTTTTCGATACATTTGAATAAACTTTCTTAAAATTTGAAAAGAAAAAAATAAAAAATTCAGACATTCCAGCGGAATTTCCAGCTTCTAGAATATATGCGCGCCGAGACGAGTACCATTTAAGTGATTGCATCTGGACCATAAATATTTTTTTCTAGGTTGAAATATATATATATATCGAAAGGGAAAAACATAAGGAATGTGATCAGCTTTGGTGCAAGAATGTGAGATTTTTTTTCTTACGAGTTAAGACGGATATACGAAATTATTATTTTATTTACTTAAAAACATTTCTGCATAAAAAGAACGATAACTCGGTTCTAAATTATCATTTTTAACTCATTCGGAGCTCATTCTAAGCGGAAAACTATAAGGAATTCGAAATTTCATAGTGTATATTTTTAGAACACATTCTAACAGATATACACTGAATTAATCATCGAAAATACAAAAAAAAGCACGATTTTTCCGACCTTTATCGCTGAGTCGGCACCATTTACACTCATTTATATGTCAAATAATGTAGAATTCCTTTATTTAGATATAATATAAGAACTTTTCCCGGGGTATATAAATTTTTTTTTTTATTACGGACACCCTAATATATATACATATATATAT